ATGTGAGAATGGCCAGACTTCGTCTCACCTATTTTGGTCATGTTGTAAGAAGGGACCATTCCCTGGAGAAGGATGTCATGCTTGGTAGGATGGAGGGTCGACAGAAGAGGGGAAGGCCTTCAACAAGATGGATTGACATGGTGGCTACGATGATGGGCTCAGGTATAGCAGGGATCATGGAGCTGGCACAGGATTGGGCAGTGTTTCATTCTGCTGTGCATGGGGTCGCTATGAGTTGGAAATGACTCGATGGCACATAACAACAACTATACCTGTGATAACAGATGTATTGAACAATGTGACAGTGTGTCTATAAAATAGAAGCTTTCCAGAATATTTTGTGCAGAATGGGTCTGGGTGCTAAATAATTTTAGGAAATGCTGTATATACCACTGCTTGTGGTGAACCCCACTGCCCATTCCATAAGGCTTAGAGAAGTTCCATGATAAAGAACTTGTTCAAACTCTGTTTATTTTCAGGTTCCCCAAATCTCTGCCTGTGGAACCCTCTTTGAGTAGCATCCACTGACATGCAGGGGAAGTAGTATTTATGGAACACATTTTGGGAAACATTGGACTTGAAATACTCTAGAGTTGTTCCAGACCTCGAACTCTAGTTCCTTCGTTAGTTCCAAGCTATATGGACATAGGGTGGCAGGAATGAGATGCCAGACAAGTAGCTTTCCTTGAATGTGGATAAGGGAGGGTAGTTTATGGTGATGATGACTGTGAGCCCCTGGAAAACTGAACCTGGAAGACAGGTGAAGAAGGGGCATGGGAAAGAGTGCATTGATCAGCTATGTCCAGTTGGTCTTTCAGCTTGTGACCCTGGCTTTAGCAGTGTTATTTTTCAAAAGCATTGACCAGTAGGTCTTACTCCTTAAAAATTGCTCTGAGTTCTCAAAAACAATTAAAACAAAACAAACAAACAAAATTGCTCTGAGATTAATAAGTAAGGATAAACAGACTGGGCAAGTTAGTTCTGTGAGATAGATGTGGTCTGCCATTTGCTTCCCCTACTCTTTTTAATTATTTATTGTGCTTTGTGTGGTGTAATGCCTAAGGCATTTGACTGCTAACCAGAGGGCTGGAGGTTCAAACCCACCAGCCACTTCGTAGTGATACTGCCTTGGAAACCCAGGGAGGGGTTGCTATGAGTTAGATCCTGACCAACGTGAGTTAGTGAATTGTGCTTAGGGTGCAAATTTACAAAGCAAATTTGTTTTACATTCAACAGTTCATGCACATTTGATTTCACACCCCATTACCATCCCCAACCATAAAAAACTCTCCTCCCCTCCCTCCCTGTGACTACTCTTGCTTTCCCTCCTCTTCAGTGAAGGAAAATCTTTAGCAGTCTGCTGGGTGAAATAGGAAAGCGATGTAATCAGGATCAGCTGTGAGTGCCAATCTCTATAATAAATGAGGGTAGGCTCTGTAGGTGAGAATTCATGTAACACTTTTAATTAAGATAACTGCAGGGGAATGGAAAGGACCCCTTAGTAAGTGACTCTAATGAACAGATGACACCCTTCCTTTCATCTTCTGGGAAAAATAGGCTCAGCCACTAACTGGTGTAATCAACACTGAAAGTGAAAAGATGCCCCCCTTTTCCTCCTTTCTTAGCTTTAGAGTACCTAGGTGCTTTGCTTTTGAATGCTTGCCTCCCCATCTTTTCTTTTTGAAAGTTCCTGTTGCTTTGGGGTCTTCCCAGCCCCCTTTTCAGATGGTAATTGGAGCCTGAATCCCTGGTCCTGGGTAGTGAAAGTAGAAAGAATAAAGAGTTTCTGGCTCCTTAAAAAATCTTGTTAGATTTTATTTGAATGTGTTTTTTAGAAAGTTCTTTCATAGTAAGCTTGCATTTATAATCAAAAAAGAACTTTTGTCTTTTTAAAAGAAGGCAACCCAAAACAGAGCAGAAAGATGTGATATGATCTTATGTGTGTTGCTATGGAAATAACTGAATGAAAATTTTATTTCCTGCTATGCCTATTGATCAAAAAGAAGGTGGAGAAAAGAGAATAAAGAGGAGACAAAGGCTTAGAATGTAATTAACAATAATTGAAGAAAAACAGTTACCCAAAAAGTTTCTCCCAGGAGGCTGCCCCCACTAACAAAAAGTGGTTGCATCTATTTGGCTGCTTCCCTGGGATGCAGGAGAGCATGCAAGAGAACTACAGGGATTAGAACTGGTGGTATCTGCGTCACCTGCCTCTGTTCCTGTTGACTTGGGGTCCCTGAGCAGAGTGAGAAAACACTTGGTGAGTCATGTGGAAACCAACTGCTGGCATTGGGAACTGTGCCCAAAGGGACTCTTGATGCCAGATTGGTTTAAAATTCAAAATCCAAAACAAGCTTTTTTTTTGAGAAGTTCCAATACTAGTACTTTTAGAGTGAATTATTTAAAAGATGTTCTGTTAATATTTGAGGACATGGCTCACATGTAACGTTAGTGGACAAATCCTTTATATATTATTGAGAAATGATTGGCTCTAAGTGTTTTATTTCTTTGAATTTTATTGTAATTATATATCCACTTAAATATGGTAATAGGTCAGTGTGGGTAATATTTTTGTCTTCCTAAATAACCACTTCTGCTTTTTTAAGTTAAAAGTATAATTTAACTTGAATGTGTGTCTGGTGGAAGTATAACTGACAGGATCACCAGGTTATAATTTAAAAAAGCTCTTCCACCTTACCTCAGTTCCAAATAAACTATCTGGATCTGTAATTCTGGAAGTCTGGCTGAATAGTAAAATCATCTTCGGGAGCTTTTAAAAATCCCAATGTCCAGGTCACACCCCCAATTAAAACAATGTGGTAGGGCCCAGGCATCAGTATTTTAAAGTTCCTCATGAGATTCTCAGGGTTTAGAGCCATTGATATAAGTGGAAATAAACTCTGTAGAGCTCGACCTAACATGTGATAGTACACATAAAAAACTGTTCACCTGTCCAATAATTCTCTCCCACCCCTTACCTCCTCCACTCCTCTAGGGCTCTCCTTGTCCCAACGGGGCTATAATCTCTGGGTACTTTCTGCCTTTCTTCCAGTGATGTGTAGGTAAATATTCAACAACTAGCTCTCTGACATTTAAAAAAAAAACAAAAAAAACCCTAATTTGTAGCATCTGCTGATTTCCACATTCTATCAATACTCCCACCCTGGTCAATTTCAAACTACCAAAGTGATAGCACTGAACCTGGGGGTTGGAAAGAAATGTACACAGTCAGTTCTCATCGATCAGTGCAAGCCAGATCCATAACACCATTGCCTCCTTCTCAATTCCAGATTTACTCACTCTCTCTTCTGAGCCCCTCCCTTAGGTGCCCTGTTCTCCCCCAGGTATGAGCAGGGGTTTTGAACCACCTAGATAAATATTTCTCTGCTTGTATGATAAGCTGGTTTATATGGTATCCTGTTCAGGTAACATAACACCTTCCCGCAGTTAAAGAGTATGGGTAATCTCTGGAAAACACCCAATGAATGTGCCTAAGATTGGGGCTATTTGGGAAGTTGTCATTCAGGATATATATATTACCCATTGAAGGAGCTCTGGTAGCATAGTGCCTAAGGCACTTGACTGCTAACAAGAAGTTCAAACCCACCAGCCACTCCTCAGAAGAAAGGTTGGGCAATCTACTTCTGTAGTGATATCGCTTCAGAAACCCAAGGAGGAGTCACTATAAGTCAGGTCCAACTCAATGACACATAACAACAACAACATTACCCAGTGAACCGGACTAAGGTGAGTTGTTCTGAGATACAGCTCCATGTGCCTGAGCTGACATAGGAGGTTTCTGACCTGCAGAGCTGAGAACCAGGCTCTGCATGGGGCTAAATTCACCAAGGTAACAAGGGGGCTTCCTGGGAGGAAGCTGCCAGCCTTTGAATGTTGACTGAGCTCTACCTCACAGGGGACTGCACACCCCTACTTATCCTTCACTCCCATTACAAAGCAATTTCACATGGCTTTTCACATTGAATTACCTCAATATACTTAAGAATGCTGAGCAGATACTATCTTCCATCTGTAGGTGGAGAATTCTGCTGAAACTAAGAGAGGTTAAGTAGAGTGACTCATTCACGTTTGAGCACCTAGCCAAGCCAGTAAGTGATGGAGCCAGAACTTGAACCTAGCTCTTCTGAGCCTAAGTTTATTGGTCTCCCAACATACAGCTTTGGTCTGTCGACCAATTCCACCTATACATGGAGCCAGTCAATTTAGGTAGAGAAGTGAGTTGAAAAGTAACAAGATTCTTGCTTTCCAGTCTGTGAACTAATATTTTCCCAGTCCTGCTTTGGTAAGCACACTTCCTGAAATGAATGTAGTTCAACAAAGAATGTGTTGTTACATCTAGGTAAATATTAAGTTAGGGGTATAATATGAATAGAAGCCCTGGTGGTGCAGTGGTTAAAGTGAGCTGACTGAAAGGTTAGTGGTTCGAACCCACCAGCTGCTCTACAGGAGAAAGATATGGTAGTCTGCTTCTTGAAGATTTACAGCCTTGGAAATCCTATAGTACAGTTCTACTCTGCCCTATAGAGTCACTATGAGTCAGAATTGACTCCATAGCAATGGGTTTGGTTTCTGGTTTTGGTTTATAATATGGATGGCTCATAAACTGTGATTCCAGAAATAGAACCAGGAGTAACTTCTGTGGAGAATGAGTCCAATCCAGAGGATGTTTGGGACTCTAAGAAGTGGCTACAGAAATATGGCTTGAAAGCCCAGAAGCTGTCATTTTATGATGTCCTTGCTGATTGCTCCTTCCGCCACGTTGATGGAGTTGTTGATATAAAGGCTAAGCCAGAGAACGAGTCTGTGAAAACCAGTGCGGTAAGTGAAGTAGATTCCTGGGTGGAAGAAGGGCCTTTCCTTGATACCCTGGGTCTGTAAGACTTTCCTCAGATCAGAATCCAAGGGCAGGACAAAAGTTGAAAGGCAGCATGGAGGAAAACCAGTTTGGGCTTCCGAAGAAAGGTGTCCTTTCTGCCTCTTACCTTATACTTCTCTAAATGGTCCTTGTGAGTAGTAATAAAATCTGGGAATAGTTTCTAGATATAAGTGATAAATATATGTGTATATATATGCCAGGTGCTGAGCTTGTAGAAATGCAGGTATAATGAGCCTCAGAATTATTCAACATTATGTTGAAAGAGAAGCCCTTTGTTCTCCCCTACTGAATGGAAGAGAGGAACTAGCTGGTGAATATCCCCAAATCAGGTGTTTGGTCCTTTTGTATTTTCATTATCTTAAAGATGCATTATTCTAGCCAGCACTTTTGGATTCCCAGTAAATATAAAATCAAATCCTCTAAGAGATTATAGCACTGGACAAAGATATATTGAAAACTTGTGAAAGTTATAGTTTCAAATGGATATGAAAAGAATATATATTCTCAAAAAAAAATTTGACTCTGGCTCACAGAAAAGGATATTGATCCTTATCAGTGGGTTCCTAAACTTTAGCATGCATGTGAGTTAGTAGATCTGAGATGGACCCAAGAGTTTGTATTTAAACAAATTCCCAGATGATGCTGATACTGCTGGTCTAGGGACCCCACTTTGAGAAACACTGATGTGCAGAACAGGAACTAGAAGACTGTCAACAGTTTAGAATTACAGAAAGATTTAAAAGTGTTACAATATGAAACAAAGTCAGGATAAAATGGATATCCCAAATTTATTATTTGTTGAAGGAAAATTTGCATGGCAGAGGTGGTTCAGTGGTAGAGTTCTTGCTTTCCATGAGGGGTACCCCGGTTTAATTCTGGCCAACGCACCTCATGCACAGCGGAGTCTTACGTGATGCTAAACAGGTTTTAGTGGTGCTTCCAGACTAAGATATAGTAGGAAGAAAGGACTACTGACCTACTTCCAAAAATCAGCCAATGAAAACTCTGGATCACAGCAGTCTAATCCATAGGCGATCACGGGGATGGTACAGGATCACATAATGTTTGATTCCATTGTGCATGGGCTCAGCAGGAGTTGGGGCCTGACTCTGTGGCAGCTGGTACTTGTTGCCATCAGGTTGATTCTGACACATGACAACCCAAAGTGTTACAGAGTAGAACTGCTCCTGGGTTTTTTTTTTTTTTTTTTGGCTGTACCTTTATGGAAGTAGATTGCTAGGCCTTTCTTCTGTGGTGCCACTGGATGGGCTTGAACCACCAACCTTTAAGTTAACAGTTGAGTAGAAATCACTGCGCCACCCAGGGACCTCTATGGTAGTTAACAACAGAAGGCCCAGGTAAACACTAAAGTGAGAGTTAAAATACAAGCAGAGTAGACATACTGGTGACTGCAGCCCAGTGGAGGCTACTGGGTAAGGAAATCAAGGCCCTCCTCAAATGCAGTGTCTCTTTATGCATTCCCAGAGGCTCTGATTTGTAGATCCTACAGAGGCAAAACCCCAGTCTCTTGGACACTCATTATTATGCTGGCTGTCCACTGAGCTCCACATATTCTCCCCAGGGAGGGTCTTTCCTTTGGGGTTGCATTACCCATGTGATTGTGGTTTTGCCTTCTTATTGCCACATGTTAACTATGAACTACAAGGAGGAAAATATAAAAATTGAATTAGAAAATTGCAGAATTGATGCAAGACTTGTTTCCTGGCTTCTACTAGGATTCAGAGTAATTGCTGCAATACAAAGAAAATCTCATTTGTGGGTTTCCTCCCCCAGCAACATTTTCTGGTTTTGTAGACATTATTCAATAATGTTATTAGTTCAGGAAATCATACATAACTAAATTTTCAATTTTAAAATATATTTGACACTGGATATTTATAATTATTAATCCCTGTCGATCTGAACACAGTTTTCCCTCGAGCACATAACAATGTGGTATGCTCAGACTCAGCTTTAATACTGATTTTCTCCTTGCTCTTGACAATTGTAAATGAAATTTTATAGGGTCAGTTTGAAGAATTGGGCTTATATAAAAAAAGGAATTTTATCTCAAGTTCTTGTGCTAACAAATAACAAACAATATGGTAAAAGTTGAAACATAACCTGTTTTTACAAATATTACTGAACAAGGGACAGTTTTGTTTTTAATACTTGGGCCTATATTTCTGAAGCTGGATTGTCATGTATAGAAGGTGGGGGAGAAATCAAGGCTAAACTATGAAACAAATAGGTTATTTAGGGTTTCCCCAAACTCCCACTATGCAGGCCTCCCTAAAGTTTTAACTATGAAAACCTGTTTGCAGGTACAACTCCAGGGAACTGTTAACAGTAAGAAATAAATGACTAAAAGGCTTGCTAGGCAGCCTTTTTAATATGGATGAACAGATGGAAGAAGGAGACAAAAGTGCGTTTCTAATTAGGGAATTTCAGGCAAAGTCTAGTAATTAGATATTTGGGAGTACCCTTAAAGTCACATTGCACATGCAATTGCTTAGGCTGCTAATGCACAAAGCTAACCCTAATGTTAAAAAACCCACTCTTGTCTCAGAATTTAATCATCTAACAAATGGTTATTAGGCCTCTCCCTTGTGCCAGGCTATGTGGAAAGTACACTGGGTCTGGAGTGAGAAAAACTGGGTACAAATGCTACTTCTCACAGTTACTAATTACAAGACATTGGGCAATTTACTCAGCTTCTTTGAGCCTCACTTTCCATGTCTGTAAAATGGATGGTGTTGAACAAAATCTGAATTAAAAAACAAAAACAAAAACTCATGTCTGAGCACAGTACTTGGCACTTAGGAGGTGGCCAATAGATGTTAACTTCCTTCTTTTCTTTATTATACTGTGAATCATAAATGGGCATTCATAGAATGCCTATATGCTTTATGTACAGGGTGAATATTTGTGCTCTAATTTTACACATAAGAAAGCTAACACACAGGGCCTCTGAGAGGCTAAGGAACTCACCCAAGATGTTGTGACAGGTGGAGGCAGGGTTTGAACCTGGATTTGCCAAGCTTCAGATTGTATTTTTCCCATTCCAACATATTCTGTGCCTTACAAAGAACCTGCTCTTACTCTCACGTAGCTATGGCCTGGTGTGTTTGTGTGTGTTGGCATGCCATGGGATTGAGAGTAGGAAGAACTCTCTCATGTGACAACCCAGGAACATGGTGCCATCATTTTGCTGAGAGATATCCTTGCATTGCAGTTGTTTTGGTTACTTAATGGCTGCTCTGACAGGAATATATCACAAATGAGATGGCTTTCACAAACAGGAGTTTATTCTCTTACAGTTTTGGAGCACAGAAGTCCAAGTTCAAAGTGCCAGGCTCTGGGGCTGGGTGAAAGCCCCTCGACCTTGGGCTTCTGCTCTGCCTCTTGCTCCTGAGCCACTGAAGCTGTAGGCTTTCTTCACTCAGGCATCTGCTGGCTGCTGGGACTGACAAGCCCGAGGTTGATAAATAAATGGCACAGTCCCAATATTACCAAACTATATGGCAGGCCATTGATTCAAGTCCATTAAAAGTCCCAACATTGGCAGAGCAAGGCAGACTGCTGAATGAGACTCAGCTACGTGCAGGGTCCAAGCGTGCCAAAAAGGTGGAGACCTGCCTCAAAGTTGCTTCTTATATACTTGATGCAGCCCACATCCCTAAAGCAGCTACTCAGGTGTTCCAGTAGATTCCACCCTGGAGTTGATTACTAATCTCACCATGGGGAATAACTCCATCCAGCTGCCCAGCCACTCAACCAGGCCCAGCCAAAGTGACACACAATCTTAACCACCACAGCAGTAGAGATATGATTTCCCTCTTTTTCTGTCTTGGGACCATCGGGACTGATCTCATCATGCCCTTCAACCCTTTTCACACCAGCCATCACTGGACTGCTGAATTCTCACCCCTGTATGGCTGCACATCCCTTCTTTGTCCCTCTTCCACTCCTCCCTGACTCCTAAAATCCCTCCACTGTGATCTTTGGAACTTGACATCATCAGAAAATCCCCTATATCCTCACGTTCCCTGAAAAGTTCCCTCTGTCTCCTTGTCTCTCCTTGAAGACCCTGCTTCCCTTGCAGCCCTCTGGAGTAGGGGTTGGGTTTATCACCCATTCCCTTTGTACCTATGGGCCTAGGGGTGTGTGGTGTCCTCCTTGCTCCTCTTTGTTGTTTTCTGTCCATTCTTTTTCCCTTCTTCCATGTCATCAGACTTTATTACCACCACATCTCATTGTGATTGTTACCTGCCGAGCCCCAAGCTCAAAAATCCTTGAAGATTTTAGCTTCTAGCTTGCTGTCACTGATTCCAACACCTGTTTTAATTCTTAGTGATTTCATTCCCATGTGGATGACTCTTACAATATTTTGATCTTTCATTTCTCTGGCCTTCTGCTCTCCAGTCACTTCCCCCATCTCTACCACTCCTGCCATAAGCATACCTTTGACCTTGTCAGTACAAATAACTGTGTAATCATAACCCACATAATCAGTTCAAACATCCCACTCACTGACCATACTTTTCAGGTCATTTCTTCTGCTACCCTAATTCCAACACTCTTTCAAATCCACTAGGATATACAGTTTATTGTTTCAGCACTTTTTCTCTGTCCTCTCCATTCCTGCCATATGAGCTTCTCCCATCCATCCTCAACTACTTTGCCCTGCTCTTATTACATTATTGCACCATAACCAACAACCAAACTCACCGCTTTTGAGTCAAATTCTGATTCATAGCAACTCTATAAAACAGAGTAGAACTGCCCCCTTAGATTTCCCAAGGCTGTAAATCTTTATGGAAGCAGATTGCTGCATCATTTTCCAGGTGGAAGGGCTGGTGGTTCCAATTGCCAGCCTTTCAGTTAGTAGCTAAGTGCTGAACCACCAGGGCTCCTTCATTATACATACTGGCAAAACTGCAAACTTGGTTATATCCAATTCTCTGCCTTTTCTGACCTATACCTGTGCAGCTGAGTGTAGATGGAGGAAATGACACAGCTATAATGTCTGGTTTCACTTTAAATTCATGGCCTCTAACTTCATGTGGATCTTTCGTGCTGCCCAACAATCCTATAGTGTTTCCTAATCCACTCAGGCTCCAATCTTTTAGGTGGGCATTTCCTTCTTTCTCCTCAAACCCCCAACACATTCTCCACTTTCACTCTTAGCAGGTTTCCTTACTTCATTGAACACTGAAGTAATCAAAAGCAAATGTCCTTGGACATCTGTCTACCTTCACATCTACAAATCCTCCAGCATCTGCATCTGTACGTTCTACCTTTATTTCTTCTATGATGGCTGAATTGTCCTTCCACATGTCTAAGATCAGTGCTTTCATGTGTGCACTGGATTCCCTTACCCCTCATTCATTCTCTTTCTATTTCACATCATCAATATTGCCCTCATTTTGAAATCTTTCCCACAACATACAAATATACTATTTTTTCTCATTTTAGAAATACATTTTTTTACCCTGATATTTGCCTCTGGCTGTACATTATTTGCCTCGTTTCTTTGTTCCTTAAAATTCAACTCTTCAAAAGAGATCTATATGCACTTTTTTTCTCCAATTCTTCAATTCTCTTCTCATTTCAACTCCAATCAAACAAAATCCCTAACTCTCCCCCAAACGTACTATTTCCAGGAATACCTTAATTACTAAATCTAGGGGTTAATTCTTGGTCTTTTTCTTACTTGACCTATTATCAGCATTTGATGTGCTTGATCACTTCCTTGAAATTCTTCTTTTGCTTGCAGAAAACACACTGCCTGGTTTTCCTTCTACTGTACTTACTCTCAGTCTTTTTTGTTACTTCTTCCCCATGTCCCCAACCTATAAATGCTGATAGGCCTCAAGGCTCAGCATTTAAAAAGAAAAAAAATCAACTTTTTATTGTTTACAGAGCAAGTTAATTTTCCTTCAATAATCCATACACATTTTGTTTCATGACCTCGATTGCCATCCCCTCAATGTAACAGCACAATGTTTACAGTTTACATTCATACTTCTTTCCTATCCCTTCCAGCCTTCTGAGCTTTACCCCTGGGCAAATGATGCCTTTTTGATCTCCTATAGCCGATTGTTCTAATGAGTATGTACCTCTCTGGTGTTATTGTTCACTTTATAGGGCTGTCTGTTGTTTGGCTGAAAGTTGAGCCTTGGGGATGAGTTCAGTTCTAGGCCTGAAGGGTATCTAAGGGCCATAGTCTTGGGGGTTCCACCAATCTTTAGCAGACCAAAAAGCCTAGTCTATTTTATGATTTTGCATTTTCTCCCACATTTTCTTCCTATTGTGATTCCTTTCAGAAGGCACAATCCTTGAACCTTTTCTCCACCTACACTCATTCCCTAAGAAATCTTACTTAGTCCCATGGTATTTAATACTGTATGTGTGCTGATGACTTCCACATTTCTGTCTCCAACTCTGAGTCTTTCCCTTATGTCCACCTTTCTATTTGTCGTATTACCTGGATATTTATTAGGCATCTTGAACTAACATAGCAGACGCTAAATCTTGATTTTCCCTTAAATCTGCTCTTCCATAATCTTCTTCTTATTAATTTGTTGCAACTCTAGTCTTTTAGTTCCCCAGGCCTAAAACTTTCGAATCATTCCTGACTCCTCTCTTTTCTCACACTCACATTTGATCTCTCAATTGCTCCTGTCAGCATTATCTTCATAATATACCCAGAATTCAGAATCTGATCACTTCTTACCATTTCTACTGTTACACCTGGTACACACCACCTAACTGACCTCCTGACTCCCTACATTTGTCCTTGACAATCTATAGCCTATACTTAACTCAGTAACCAGAGTTTTCCTTTAAAATGATAAGTTAGATTTTGTCACTTCTCTTCTTAAAGCCCTTGGATGATTTCTCTTTCACTCAGTGTGAAAGTAAGAGTCATTTCCAACAGTTGTCAGGCCTACAGGATCTGCTTCCTGTCTCTTCTTGTATTTATCTAGCTTCATTCACTTCTCTCCCCCCTGCTCCGTCTATTTCAGCTACACTGTCCTTCTTAAAATTCTGCAAACATGCTAAGCAAACACTTACCTCATAGCTTTTGTGCTTGTTGTGCCTTCTAACTGGAATGCTCTTGCCCCAGACATAAAAATGGCTCATATTCTTGATTCCTTGAGGTTTTTGCTCAAATGTCACCTTCTCTCTGAGGTTTTCTCTTTTAGATTTTTAACTTTTCCCCACCCTCTTCACTCTACTTCTTCTCACATGTAAACTCCATAAGAGTAGGAATTTTGGTCAGCTTTGTTTTTGGGTAGCATTCCTGGTGCCCAGCAGAGCACCTGGCGTGGAGTTTGTTTGACAAATATTGGATGAGTGCTGAAGAGTGACAGACATTCCCTGTAGGAAGGCCTTGTCTTTAGGCCAGTCCTGTATGTCCCAATAGAGGGTGCTAGATGTGGGGTGGGGTTCTTAGGGCAGAGAACAGTGACAGAAAGATGTTTTGTGTGACTCTCTAGTCCTACCTCATCCAGAATGGCCTCCCTGACCTTCTGCTTCACTGTGAGCTCTTCCTTCATTGCCAGGACTTGCTGTCTTCCCCGTCTCAATGCAATGCCATGTACTGGTTATCTACTGCTCTGCATCGCCTGTTTTCTATGTGTTTTGGGGTATGTTTTGGTATGCGTGTGTGCAGTGTCTCCCTGTTAAATACATTGACTTCACTGGGGCATGGATGGTATCTCACAAAGCTTTCTGGCCATCACTCAGAATACCTAGTGCAGAGCTTCATATGGAGCAGGTCCCAGTACATGTTTAGTTGAATTAACAATTTAATATATTTTGTGGTGGGGGCAAGTGCTAAGAGACTGAGGTGCCATTTGGGACTTTTTTCTATCAAATGGTTTCTAAGTGACTTCTGTCCTTTGTTCTTTCTACAGGAGACAATCAAGAAGACAATCCATGCAAAATACTGTAGCAGGTTTGTCCATGCTCCCTGGAAGGATGGGAGCTTAGTCCATGTCCATGTTACCAAGGAGAAGTGCAGGTGGTACAATGAGAGAATTCAAACAGTCCTCGCTCAAATTGAAAGGAGGTTGGTGTATTTGCAGAAGAGTATAAGAGTTCTAATTTCTCTTGAAATTCAAATCTGCTTGACCTTTTGGTAAAAGCTCAACCAAGAGAAATGACCAATACACATTGTTAGCTCAAAGTTGCCGTCTGATGGTTTGTTGATGGCCTTGTTGTTGTTAACAACAAAGGGGGAATGTTTGGATTTCAAACTGCCTTGATGCCAGTTTCCTAAAAATAGCAAATTTTTAAAAGCAGTAAACAGAGGGTGTAGTCATCATAATGGTTGTGCATTACTGTAGGAGGCTAAGAAATGCTTGCAATTTTTGTGTGCCACAGGTATATTGCAGACTATATTACATATCACCTCTGTTGTACTCTTGGAATACATTCCAAGGCAATTGTTACAATGTTATGAAATACTTCAGCACAATATTCAACAAAATTGAATATATGGACTTTTTAAACTGAGCTAAAAATGACTTCATGTGATCTGAGCCCCACTGGTTCTTGAAATCTGATATTGCTCATGGGTCTTGCATATTAATGCTGTAACCTTGGGCAGCTTCATGGAGATGACCTACCTTAACAACTCTCAGCTCAGCCCTTCCACTTCTCCAGTGCCAGTTTTAGACCAAACCAAAAATCAAACCCACTGCCAGGGAGTTGATTCCAACTCAAAGCGACCCTATAGGGCAGAATAGAACCACCCCACTGGGTTTACAAAGCTGTAAATCTTTACAGAAGTAGACTGCCTCTTCTTTTTCTCTTGGAGCAGCTGGTGAATTTGAACTGCTGACCTTTTGGTTAGCAGCCAAGACTAGGAAGAACAAATTCATTTAGGCCCATGGGTTTTGGGGTCATATAGGGCTGGGTTCCAATCCCAGCTCTGCCACTTGCTGTGTGACCCTGGGGAAGTTAGTTAATGTCTTTGTGCACTAGTTTCCTCATTTATAAAGTGGAAATTCTTTCATTGATGTTTGTTCTATGGATTATATTAGATGCTAAATCAAATAGGTTTAAGATAGTACCCACCCCGCAATGTTGTTGCTGTTGTTATGTGCCGTTGAGTCGGCAACAGGAATGTGAAAATGAGAGCTCCCTCCCTCCCTCCTCCCGGGCCTGAAGTTTTTCTTTGTGTGAAAGTTTTAAACTGTGCATTCAACTTCTTTAAATACTCATAGAATTGATATTGATAGATTATGCTTTCTTTATTTTCTAATCAGTCTGGCTAGAGGTGATCCATATTCTTGTTCTTTTCTAAGAACCAGCTTTTTGTTTCATATTTTTTTTTTTCTATATAGGTTTTCTGCTTTCTATGTCATTGATTTCTATTCTTATCTGTATTATTTCCTTTGTTCT